TGTCATCAAACTCCTCCCCTCCAGTCACATGGTTCAATTCCGATATCATCGCCCACTTTTAAGGATTCAAACAGTGGATGTAATCAAATCCCGTCATATACTGTACATGTACTCTAAAATATGTCACATTACACAAGTAAAATAGGTTGTGAAATATCTTTTCGTATTGATTTCAGCATCTGTCTGATAAAAATATGACACTGATGGGCTATTCACTGTTTCCAGATGTTTCCGTGAGCATAAACTCTAAAAGCAAAAAGCTCTGAAAAGGTTTCTGGCACATTTATGTTCATTGCAGATAATCCACAGGATTCAAACAGTGGATGTAATCAAATCCCGTCATACTGTACATGTACTCTAAAATATGTCACATTACACAAGTAAAATAGGTTGTGAAATATCATTTCGTATTGATTTCAGCATCTGTCTGATAAAAATATGACACTGATGGGCTATTCACTGTTTCCAGATGTTTCCGTGAGCATAAACTCTAAAAGCAAAAAGCTCTGAAAAGGTTTCTGGCACATTTATGTTCATTGCAGATAATCCAGGAGTATTTTTCTACCAGCCTGGAAGCAGGAAACAGCAAAATCGGTGCGGTGCACATAAATTCCCGCTCAGAAAACAGGCTGTTCAATAACACAACACTCATTACTCAAGAGCCACCGCTGTTAGTCCACGCCACAAAACTAACTCGCGTCCTGTTTCCCTGAAAAGTCCCGCAAGAGTTGCAGATGCCTGCGTTATTGGCGAGATTTTGCGTCTGTTGCATTTTCTACTAGTAAGCAATAAATGTCACGAAAATGAAGGTCACCTAACCTCGGTGCATCAAGACGTATTTGGCAGCACGGCGTAATGCCTTCCAAGTTTGTGGAACAAATGAAATTCTGCTGCTCTGGTGCACTTTGCATCCAAACAACCATTACAACTGGCTTTATATACTGTCTGAGCAGCAGACCATCAAATGGTGTTTTTATTCTTGTGCTGGAACGCTCCACACTGTTGAGAATAGAAATCCATCGCTTGTATGCAAAAGACTGGAGCCAGTCTATATCTGCTGGTGAAATGATAGTTTCATACAGGATTAAAATTGATCACGGCATCTGCGACTGTAGCATTAGATCTGCGTAAGGCATCATTGGTGCTCTTTTGGAGGTAATTGGGCTTTTTTGCTAGAAGTTTCTTGGGAAGCAGAGTGGGAATTACTAGATTAAGCACTCTAGAATATGTTTGCATTCTGTGGCACGGCTCTGATTCATATTTTATGTTGCTTTTTGTTGGTTGATAAAATGTGAAGACAATATCCGCTGATTTTCTTCTCCACCAACGGTCGTTTTTCATCCATCAAAGCATTTTTCTCTCCCCATCTTTCGGCACTTGCTATAACTGATTTAGCATTTATGGTGGTAAAAAATTAATCTAAATGTCGTCCAACGGGGAACGCAGAAGCTCTGGGCTGATTTATTTCCGACTTAATTCAGAATGGCTTGACATGATGAACGCTACAGAAAGTGGGCAGTTGTGTTTTGGAAGCATTAAAGTGGCTGTTGCGAGTTGTTTGATTGAAAATCATAAATCAGTGAACTCAAACCTTGGACCAGAGAGCAGAGACTGTAAACAGCAGAGAGCCTGTGTCCTGTGTGTTATTAGCGATACACTAACTTCATGCAGATTTACTGTTGCTTTAAGGGATTGAAAATGAATCTGATTTATGTGCATTTGAAAACATTTTAGGGTGCTTTTCAGTTTTTTAAACATATCTATGTGTGTTTCTCACCAGTGATACAAACAGAATTGTATGCACCATTAAGCTGGAAGCTGTACGAACTTGCTCAGCAAGATTCCCTTCAAAATTGTTGCTCCGCCATGACATAGTTTACCGTAGAACACTAAATATAGATACAAATTAGCATATGCTATTCTCTTTATGTAAAGTGCATATTTTTCAGCTTTTTTGGCTTTAATCATGATTTTTGTTCTGTCCCTATGCAAGTAAACCAATAAATAAAAATAAAATCTGTGGAATACATAGGGTATGTTTTGCACCTTATACTGCCTACTATGAATGTGTGTGATGCATTATGTCATGACAAAACTACATTGCTTACGGTATAGTTAATAAAGCTTTCTACACCTAAAATGTGTTAGTATCATTGCAGCGCATTGCATTGCATTTTCAGATGATGATGCATTTATATTTTGGACAAGCTGCAAAGCTACCTTGGCAATGTTTTTTAATCTGAAATAGAACTAAAATATAGTCATTTATTCTAAAATAAATGTAATATCTATTTTCTTTATCCGTTCAAATCAACATTTTTTGTGAGCATCCTTTGCGTTTAAAGCAGCTTTTGCCCTAGGTGCACTTGCGCATAGTTTTTCAGGTAACTTTGCAGGAAGGTCTCTTGAAGCATCTTGGAGATGTTGCCACAGTTCTTCTGGATTTAGTGTGTCTCAGTTTGTTCTGTTTCTTCATGTCATTCCAGACAGACTGGATAATGATGAGACCAGATCTCATGTAGAAACAATTTTCACTCAGAAAATGCTAGTAAATTTCACAAATAATTACAAAGAATTGGTAAGTAAAACACTGAATTAAATGTGAGATTTTGAAATAGAAAGACTGAAATCATATTTTCTGGTAAATAACCATCTGTTTTACATATTATACAGTGCATGCAGTGTTTACACCAGTGTGATACACCGTATTTAAAGATGTGCCGTCAGTCGCTTTCACTATGTGAAGTTGCTACTGTAGCAGTTGCTGCCAGAAAAAGACTAATTTTATTCCAAAGGAAATAAATACAGAGAAATGCACAGTTGTAAATCACTCGAGTCAAAATAAACAGAAACACTTTGAGGCAGTAGTCATAATTCATAATAAATCATTGTTTTGTGCAAGCATGCATGGGAGCGAGTGTATATTTTGGGCGTTTTCCATCTAGCTCTGATGCAGGTGAGGTTAGCGCGGCGTTGTGTTTCTTTCTCTTTGTTTGAGTGCTTGGCGGAGAAAGAAGATCTCTGGCTGGCCTTCTGTCTGTGGTAAAAAGGCAGCAATGAAAGTCATTCACAGGGGCGTCTCACGAGACCCCGGGCCAAAGCTAATCACAACTTCGACCCACTTCTGGATTCCAATGACTGAATCTATTGAGCTGAGGTCTCTCGACGAGGCACAACAAAGTCGGTGTGACTGCAACTTTAGCCTGCTGCGGCCCAGCACCACAACAACGCTGTTGCCTGCCTCGTCTGTGAGGCATGCATGGGAGCGAGTGTATATTTTGGGCGTTTTCCATCTAGCTCTGATGCAGGTGAGGTTAGCGCGGCGTTGTGTTTCTTTCTCTTTGTTTGAGTGCTTGGCGGGGAAAGAAGATCTCTGGCTGGCCTTCTGTCTGTGGTAAAAAGGCAGCAATGAAAGTCATTCACAGGGGCGTCTCACGAGACCCCGGGCCAAAGCTAATCACAACTTCGACCCACTTCTGGATTCCAATGACTGAATCTATTGAGCTGAGGTCTCTCGACGAGGCACAACAAAGTCGGTGTGACTGCAACTTTAGCCTGCTGCGGCCCAGCACCACAACAACGCTGTTGCCTGCCTCGTCTGTGATTGGCACAGAGGTGTGTTCTTGATACTATATACAGTCAATAACAAAGAGCCCGGCACAGCTATTGAGTTCAGTTACAGACCGTCTCTCCTGGGCCTTTTGTTTGGATGGAAAAAGCAGTGTTGAAAACAGAAAGGCATGTTGGGATATATTGTTACAAATTACAATAGAGATGAATCCTGTTACATATCTGTATAATGAATAGAAGCTAATATTAATGGATCTATCAATAGTAACCATGGTTTTCCCTCTCTTTAGGGTGTAGTGCTGTCACTAACAACATTTTTTATGGCATTCTTGTATTTGAATCATACAACTGTATATACACTACTGTTCAAAGGTTTGAGGTCAAAGTTGTTGTTTTTTAAAAATATGTGTTTATCAATGATGCATTTAGTTGATTAAAAGTGGCGATAAAGCCATTTATAATGTTACAAAAGATTTCAATTTCAAATAAATGCTGTTCTTTTTTTATTGTACATTGTATTTTGACCCATGTTTTTTTGGCTATTGCTACAAATATACCCCAGTGACAAAAGACCACTTTTGTGGTCCAGGGTCACATATATATATAAAATAATAAATGTATATTGAGCATCAAATCATCATATTAGAATGATTTCTGAAGGATCATGCGACACTGAAGTAATGATGCTGAAAATTCTGCTTTACATACAATATTGCCGTTTTTACTGTATGTTTGATCAAATAAATGCAACCCTTGGTGAGCATAAGAGACTTCCTATAAAAACGTTAAAAAAATCGTACTGACCTCAAACTTTTGAATGCTAGTGTACATTGGTACTTCGCTGTACCATGGTATCACCACAGTATGTCATGTCCCATTTAAAGTCAACCCATTTATCTTTGAAATGTGAGTTCACTGTGAAACAATAAAGGTACACCACAGAATTCTGTGCTCTCTCTTTTGACTTCCGTGGTTGTAACATAGAAATGCAAGGTTTAAAACAAAAGAATGTTGATCATCTTTCTATGGGAAATTGTTTGGATTGTGAAAAGTGGTTTCTGTGTGTCTGTTGAATTATTTTATTTTGATGAGAGACACATTTTTGGTCTTTCTAATAATATGCTCAAAGTAAAGCCAGATCTACAGTATGTGTTAAGAAAGCATTTTTATGTACAGTATATTTACAGTGCTGAATTCTTATCCCACTGCTTGATAGATAAAGAAATGATAATCATAATCATCTCTTTCTATGTTCCCCTAGTTTTGGTTTGTCTTCTGGGACATCGTCCCTTGGCGCCTCACAAACTTAAGTAGCCTACTTCATGCATAAAGGTCTGAAGTTTTGTCAGGCACAATACAAGAAGCAAAGTCTGTCAGGCTTTGAATAGCAGTAGATGTTTATGCTACCGACGTTCTTGCGTTTCTGTCAGGTTGCAGGCTCTGAGGAAGGAGAAGTCACGTGACGCCGCTCGCTCGCGCCGGGGGAAGGAAAACTTCGAGTTCTATGAGCTGGCAAAGATGCTTCCACTCCCCGGCGCCATCACCAGCCAGCTGGACAAGGCCTCCATCATCCGCCTCACCATCAGCTACCTTAAGATGAGGGACTTTGCCAACCAGGGGGACCCGCCGTGGAACCTGCGCGTCGAAGGACCGCCGCCCAACACCTCAGTCAAAGGTAAGAGGCTTTTTTCTGTGTAGAACTTTTATTCTGCTCTTTTTGTTGTAAAATTGGATTATTACTATGTTGGGGGTAACGCATTACAAGTAACGCTAGTTATGTAATCAGATTACTTTTTTAAGTAACTAGTAAAGTAACGCATTACTTTTTAATTTACAAGAGAATATCTGAGTTACTTTTTCAAATAAGTAACGCAAGTTACTTTTTTTTCCAATTTATTTATTGGCAGCTCTCCTGTCCCCATGTTGAGAGAAATCAGATGTTACTGTAGTTCTAAAATAGATATGAATAGGCATTAATTCATCTCACTCACAAAAAAAAACACAGATTCAGTATTCCTCAAAATGAATTAAAAAAATGCAACTCAGAATATGATGCAAACCTGCAATAATTAAATGTTAAACAACACAAATGTCCTTTATGTATTTAATCCCATACTATTAACCAATCTCTTTGCTTCTGACCTTCGATGATCCAGTTCAACCGTACTAATAAGCACAAATTACTTTAGACAAACATTTGTGTCTTTTTTTTTATTGCTGAAGTGTGTTGAAATTTCTTCTGCATTCTACTGTACGGACGTAAATTTAAATTTCCTTTAGCCCGAGGCTTATTCATTTCACTTTTGGTATGAAAAGGCTTTTATATTTGCCAAAAATAGGTCTTTTTTATTTTAAAAACAAACAAGCAAGCCCTGTCCAGATTTACTCCGCAGATTTATTTCCGCATTACTTTCCATAAAAAGTAACTAAGTAACGTAATTAGTTACTTTTTAATGGAGTAACACAATATTGTAATGCATTACTTTTAAAAGTAACTTTCCCACAACACTGATTGTTACAGTGTTTTTTCAATGTGATGTATAGCATGTGTGGGATGCTGAATATGAAATACTACAGACAATCATTTCAAGTTCCTCAGTGTATATTAATGAATGGGAAATCGCCTTTGCGCTAAAACGCTTACAGTGGTAGTAAGCAAGCGGACGAGATGCTGTTTTGTGTTTTTTAGTTTATATTTTGAAAATAGTTTTCATTTTTATATTTTCTGTTTTAATTTTAATTGTGGTTAAAGTTTTAACAGTTTTGTTGTGTTTTTGTCATTTTGTATTGTTTTTTGAAAAATTGCTTTGGCAACTAGCTGAAATGAAATAAGTTTCAGGTTTTCATTTCAGTTCAAGTTTATCTTAATTCAAATAACTTTTGTATGGTTTTAGTTAACTATAATAACCTTTCTCATGACGCATAATCAGAAGTTCATTAACATAAAAAAATTGTCAAAATAATAATTTAGATAAGCTTAAGTAACAAACTACTTCAGGCTGTCTAAATAATAAAAGAATGATAATAAAATGATGACATCTAATTCTAAATTATTCTAGTAATTCTATAATAAAAGCAAGTAAATCTAAGCTTTTTTCACAGCAAAGTACATATTTTCATTAATTTGAAGTTATTTTTGCTTACACTACTGCATCCAAAATTAACTTAAAATAAATACACTTTTTAACAAATATACAAGCTGCAAATTTCTGTTTTATTCGACTAACTTGCCTGCAAGTCTTCTTTTGGTGGATAGTTCACCCAAAAAAATCTCATTGTGTTGTTCCAAACCTTTATGCATTTATTCTACTAAAGACAAAATAATATATTTTGTTTCGGTTACCGTTGATTTCCATTTTTAGCATCATTCTTTCGAAATGTCTTATTTTCTTGTTCCAAAGAAGAAAGAAAATTAGTTTTGGAATGACATTATCTAAATGATGACAGAAATGTCTTTTTTGGGTGGACTATCACTTTTATAAGAGTAATTGTAAGTATGAACTGGTTAATACACACTGAGGTACTAGTTGAGATGGTTGTGGTAATCACCTGCGTGCAGTACACAAAAACAGCAGATCATCACTTAGTGCTTTTGCCAGCAAGGACAAGAAGCAGACAATGAAACTGGATGTACATTAAAAAAGTCGAGTGAGATGTGCAGAGTGGTCATAACTCGCTCCCTTCTGACTGGAGTTTGCTGCACTACAGGCTCGAGAAGAAAAATAGCTGTCAGTTATAAATAAACAAGATTGTGTCATGCTCTACAGAAGCCTAATTAGTTATGAATGTCAGTACACTGAAGCAGCCTATAGATTTAACAGTAACTATGGATTCTTGTTTGGACTGTAACGATTAGGTGAGTAATTGGCCTGGTTAATCAACTAATGCTAATTGGTTGGTGATAAAAGATGCAGTCGGGATCAATGAAAATAAAAAAAGATGCGCTCGATACTTGCTCTTCTCATTATATTTGACTGCTGTGGCTAAATGTAATATTTAAAAGAGATGATGCTCATTTGCTATGGGTTTTTGAAGTGTATTTGCACTGACAGTAACATGTTTATATATATAACTAGAATTTTTCTTTTAATGTTTACTTTTATATTATTTTATACGATTTATTTTATATTTTTTACTTATTTTAAATTAAATGTTATGTTATATATTTTATTTTATTTTTTATTATATCTTTATCATATTTTATATATTATTTATTTTATTTTATTCAATTATTTTATATTATATTATATTATATTATATTATAGTTTAGTAAATTCATTACAGCTACTTTGCACTTAAGTGTGAATTATTTACTGTACATTTGGCATGGCTGTAATACCATGAATGTTGTTAGAGGCAACAGTAAATTGTTGCAGTTTTCAGCGGCTTTGTTCTGTGATTTCCGGCCGGCACACAACAGATGGTATCATTGTTGTCTCGCTTTGAAGAGCCGCATGCATTTTAATGAGAAAATGTATATGGTGAATAATTCGGTGTAGAACCGGCCCGTAGGACTGTTGCTTTTTAAACGTCCGACATCGACATGCAGTGCAGGAAATGATGTAAGTAAAGGAAATTAATAAAGTGCATTGCATCCCCATATATTAATGAACGCTCAGCAAGGTGAATCCAAACCCTCTAGGACAACGAGAGGCTCTTTGTGTCCTTCCATCTCATTGACAGCAGCCGTTTGAATTGAATCAGTAGCGCGGCCCATTTTATTTGCACTACATTTTGAACAGAACCTGTTATCGATTCCCGTTTTGCTGTTCTGCATCGCTAGAGCTAATGGATACTCAGCCCCGCTCCCGATTCCTCCGAGCTCATGAATCTCTGTTTATTTTCCGATTGGAGCGAGCAGATGGGACTGACCTACAGCGGCAGCGCTCTCTCTCCTCGTCCTCCGCTGACTCCTGCCGGATTGTTGTTTAGAATAGAAGAGGTGCATGTGTTTTGATTGGCGTACAGCTGACCGGGAGGCGCGCTGCGCGCCGTAATGCAGAGCATGCTAATACGAGCATATGGTGACTTATTGCATCAGGCCCGGAGCTCAGAGGGCAGGGCCCGTTTCTCCTTCCGATTGTTTGTGTGCACGAGTCAAGGTGAGCCGGAGGAAAACGATATTGTTTCCTGGGCCTGGAAGTAGCCAGTTCATTTGTCAGTGCAGACTTCCAGGCAATTTCCCAGTGACTTTACATAGAGATCCGAAGCCGCCGCTGCTGTTATTATACAATATTTGCTGTGAGAAGAAGAAAAAATCAAGTTGACTTCTTGTAAGGCATTTCTACATAATAACTGATGATTGTAACCTTTTGGGAAATCTCTGAACAGTGTCGTTTGGCAAATCTCATGTGAATCGAAATTATTCTTTGCTTAGAGAAAAATCTACCTGCATTCCTCTGGATCTTTTTCATGTCTCTGTGAATAAAGAAAATATATCAGATTCAAGAAACATACACAACCTCTCAAATGTTTGGTGTCATTAAGATTTTTTTTAAAGAAATTAATGCTTTTATTCAAAAATGATGCACTAAATTGATCAAAAGTGACAGTAAAGACATTTATAATGCTACATAAGATTTCAATTTCAAATCAGTGCTCTTCTTTTGAACTTTCTATTCTTAAAAAAAAACTAGGTTTCCACAGAAATATCTGTTCAACATTGGTAATAACTGGAAATGTTTCTTGAGCAGCAAACAGCATATTAGAATGATTTCTGAAGGATCATGCAGTTTCTCAGCGACTTTAAATAGAGATTGGGGGGGGAGAAATCAAGTTGACTTCTTTAAAGAAAATCTACATGCATTTTTCCGGTTCTATTTAGTGTCTGTGTGAATAAAGAAACAATGGCAGATACAAGAAACAAACAGATATTCAAGTTGCTGCCTGCACAATTGACACGTTTTGTGCCTGTAGTTAGCCGCCGAGTCGAGGACACATATGCCAGTTGTCCTTTCATGATCACCGGAAAGGAATTCCAAATGGGCTGAAATGTTTGCAAAATAGCAGCTTTCCGTTGGAATGTCAAAAACTCGCTTCTCCGTTTTAATCACCCAGGGCATAAACATCTTGCGCCAACGGCTGCTCGGAGACTGATATTAACGGAGGGGAATTAATTGAGTGAAATGCGAAATTATTTTACATGCACCGCCGGTGCCCACAGGGAGATAAATCACAAACGAGATCTCTGTAACGACTCAATTGTTTCTCCTAGACAGCGATGAGATTCGGTGGAGAGGAAATGGAGGCTAGGGAGAAAAAAATGAGGAATCATTTCTCAATTTGAACATTTCTCATCAACACCCCCCCCCCCCCCCCCCCCCCCCAACTTCATAACATTTCTCCTAGACAGTGATGAGATTAAATAGAGATATAATTGAGGCATGGGAGATAAAAAATGAGGGGGGAAAAAATTATTTTTTACCCCAAGATCAAATTCATATCTATATTCTATCCAAATTTATTTTATAGCTGTATACTGTTACTATACATGTATGTAGATATACACTAATGGTCAAAAGTGTAATGTCTGACTGTATTTATGTGATCAAAAATATAGTAAAAATTGTGAAATATTATTACAATTTTAAATAACTGTTTTCTACTTGAATATATTTTAAAATGTAATTTATTCCTGTGATGAAATGCAGAATTTCCAGCATCATTCCTCCAGTC